ACGTAAGTCTCATTATCTACTAATTATATTGAAATCAAAATACCCAGTATAAAATTGCAAAATAAAATTTATTTATATTTCTTTGCATTCCTTCGAACCAAAACATACCCTAAATGTTGATCTTGCATGGGGGCATGAGTGTTAGAAGTGGTTGTCAAGAAGAACAACCTTTCATCTGGTTGATGACTTTAGAACAGAAAAATATTCCCAATATATTTTAATCAAGCAGCAGTATCTTTAGTCAAGACCTGCAAACTGTATATTTTAAAAGCGATGGGATGCTCTATGTTTTTTTCTCGAACGCCTTGACAGCATTGCTGTGAAGCTGCGCCGGAAACATTAAACGGAAAGTTTAGCATGAAATTCAAACCCATCTCTCTCTCTCTCTCTCTCTCTCTCTCTCTCTCTCTCTCTCTCTCTCCATATGAATTTTCTTATTCATCTATTAGCAATGATGATGTGATTTGAAGGCATGCATGCAAATTTGACTTGCTGATCTTGAACTGGATTTATTCTTACTTATTTGAATTTCATTGATTTTGCAGGAGCTAAGTGATATGACTGCTATTAAAGTGGATGACATATTGAGCACTCTTCAGAGCCTGGAGTTGATACAATACAGGAAGGGACAACATGTGATTTGCGCTGATCCGAAGGTCCTTGATCGCCATCTGAAGGCTGCTGGCCGTGGGGGTTTAGAAGTTGATGTGAGCAAATTGATTTGGATTCCTTATAAAGAACAAAGTTAGCTGAGGCATTTCGGTAGATCTCAGCGACTGCAATTGTTCGCCCCTGTGTGGTTTGACTTGTTAGTGATGTAGAAGAAATGTAGCCTGTGCACTGTAAAATTTCTTTGTGGCTGTTAGGATGAAAGTCTTGGTACCAGCTAGAGCTTTCTTGTGGATAAATTTGACTTTTACTTGTATGAAGATTGATCTTAACTAACAAAATATGATAAAAGAAAGCTAACAAAAGAAAAAAAAAATTGACTGCAATTGTTCACCACTGTGTGGTTTGACTTTTACGTCAACTAACAAAATAAAATAATAATTATTGTAACTTGTTTTAAACTTATTTAAATTGGAACTATCCTGCAAACATCCAAATCTAGAGAAAGCAACTGGGCCAACGGTGGCGGCATTATCCGTCCTCGTCCGATCGGCCTATCTTTTCCTTGTCATTCATTCGCTTCCTTTTTGTCGGCTCCTTTATTGGATCGACAAAGTCATGCCCTATTTTTTAGTTAAGAAAAGAAGGAAAGATAAATGCTCTTTAGAGATCCCAAACAAAATTTTACTAGAATTAGATTATGTCATATGATAAAAAGAGAAAACACTCACCTCCAGCATCTCTCATAGCAGTTTGAGATGGGTGAAGTGGTGTTCGAGATGGATGCATGGGTGTCTCACTTCCAAAACCATATCGAGAAGGTTCACTATCAGGCAATACAATATGAGTTAAGATCATGCTTTGACTTGGAGAAACTTAAAAAAAAAAAAAAAGGATAAATTAAACTATATTACCGGAAAGGGGTTGCAGAATCTGGTGCGTCCAAGATATCATCTCTTTTGACTAATAAAACAACATTAAGAAAAGTGTAACTAGAACAAAATCATCTGGAAATTTTGTTGAAGTATATACATATAAATTAAGCTAACCTGTAACTATCTTCATATGTGAATCCAATTCGACGCGAACAAAGGAACCAATGACCCTCACAACACGACCATGATATCCTTTAAAAGGCCCTGAACGAATTTTAATAGCTCTTCCAACTAAAGCATCATTTCCTCGTCTGCCACCACTACCTCCACCTCTATTATGCCTTTCATCACCACCTATTATGGTTTCATCGTTCTTAACAACGTTATCTGCAAAAACATGGATCTAGTAGACCAAAAGCAATAAAAAAGTATTAAACGGAGGATAAAAATTACCTCAAAAAACTTTTTGACACATAAAAATACTTACTTCTTCGTTTGTGATATCTGATATAAGTATTAGCATGTAACCATCAACTTTTACGATAAATCCAGTTGCACCTTCTTGTATTCCCGAGATCACTTTCACGTAATCTCCTAATTTAAAGCATTTACATAGGTCCTTCTCATTGAAAGACAATGTTTCCTAAAAATAAAAAGAAAAAGAAAAAAAAAAAAACAATTATCATCATATCCATAAAATTTTTAATATGAAAGTGATCGATCAAAAAAATACTTACTGGTAAGTCTTCCGTTTCAGTTTCAGGCTTGACGTGAATTATTACTTCAACTTCTTCAACCAATCCCTTTAAATTTTTCATGTCTCCTCCTCCAACTATAACTTTATCTCCTTTCATGAAATGACCTTTTTTTCTATTTGAAATTAAAGTTAATAAATTAGGCATATTAGCATCACGATGGCCATCACAATCACTCCCAGCTGGTTGGCGAGACATCCCTTACTCCTTCGGCTGTAATCCGCTTAAATTTTAATAGTTCTTCCGCTTTAATATTTCCGTGCAGCAATAGCGAAGTCTGTTCCGCAAAAGCTCCAGAGCGGGGCTGAGAGGCCAAAGCGAGCGGGAGAGGCGGAGGGGTTTGAAAGCTCCGTGCAGCGCGAGTCGCTCTTCTTCATATTTATCGCCGGCCGGTTCGCGAGAGGTTGAATGTTGATGTTGCTTTAGCTAGATATTTTCCCCATATACTGTTGTTTTAATATTCATGTTTCGTTGCTAAAATTTAATATTTTTATGTTTATTAACATTTTTTTTGTCAATTAAATAAGTTTCTTGCTAGATCTTGTCCACAATATAAGTGCTTTTTATTGTTGTTTGTTGTTTTAAGGATGCTTATTAACTTGATGGTGGGTTAGTACTAAGGAAGAGGATAAGCTCTATAAAAGAGATAAAACAATTAATAGGAGATCTAAAATTTTTGAGAAGATAGATGCATTAGAAATGTAGATAATAGGATTTTAGGTAAAGATACTTGATATTTTGGATAAAGAAATTATTTAGAGAATTTAAAGAAAAAGTAACTTTAGAGATCATGATAAACTAAATAATGTAGCTTAGTGTAGGTTATTCTAAAATTAAATAGGAGGTAGCTATAAAGTTGATGCTTAAAAGTCAAATTTATTTCTAGCTGAGATACCTATTAAGATTTGGAGAGTTATTGATGAATTATAATGGCTTGATAAATAAATATTTCAATAAAATTTAAATGTTGAGAGGATGCCAAATGATTAAATAATAAGTGTTTTACTATGAGTATTAAGAACAATATAGATGTTTAATACTGTGGTTATTACAGAGGACTCTAACATGGGTGTCACACTATATGAAGTTATGAGACAAAGTAATGGAATATAGGCCTAAAATAATTTTACCACTTCCAGATCGACAATTTTGTTTCATGCAAGGAAGGTTCATTGTAGATGAAATCATGTTAAGAGAATTAATGGAAAATGTTGAAAGCATAAATGGATCTTTATATATATATCTTTACACGCTTATGTATGCGTATGATGAAAATTTATTTTGCATGCATTATGAAAGAAGTGTGGCAAACATATGCTTAAGTTATAAAAGATAAGTATGTTTGATTATTGACTAGCATTAGAAGTATATACAGGAGTTAAAAAATTTTTGAGGTACTGTAGCATTACATTAATGATCAATATTGAGTCTACATATTTTTATATTTGTTCTGGAGATGCTGACTAAGGATACTGAAAGTGAGGTGCCTTGGTGATGGAGGGTGTTTGTTGGACTTAGAGTGAGGAATTAAGGTGAAGAATTTTATTTGATGAGGGAAAATTTAGGAGGGATATTGGAAATAATTTTAAGCTTTGAAAACCTTGGGAAGCTAGGTTTCTAGTATCCGCCAAGAGTCAAAGGGGGATAGCTAGTTTTAGGTTATTTTAAGGTGACTGTTTTTATGTGGAGATTAATAGAGATTTATGAATGGAGGTATGAATTGTTTAAGTATTCTATTGATAGATTAGGAAGTTAGGAAGATGTTGCAAGAGATTGCTGTATGAAAGTTTTGGTCTTTGGAGCTGAAGAAATGTTGAGTGGTTGGGTTGGGACAAATTTTGGCTAATCAACTTATCTTGAGAAGAAAAATGATACAAAAGTGCTGGAACTTATAAAGAAGCCCAGGAGCACTTGAGGGGATGTATGAAAGTAGACAATATAAAAAGATCACACAAAAATAAAAGTTAATTATAAGGGAAAACCTTTTACCAAAGAGGAGGTGCTCAAGATCACCTAATCAATGAGGAATTGGAATAGCTACCAAGCTTTCAAAACTCAAAAGGGAAGAAGACTTCTCCAATCTTATTCTAATTTGTTACAAACTTCATTTCTTATAGATTACATTATATTTAGAAGAATTACACCAAAGAGGAATACAAAATATTACATGGAATCCAAAGAGGGGTTGACTGCGCCAATAAAGGTTCATAACTCTATTTTAAAAACTCAATGGATAATATTTTTTGAATGCTGCGCTGTAAGATGAAATATCAATCTTGAATCTTCAAAATATGATTGGCTATTCTTGCTTTGACTTTAACTTCTGATGACATGACAAAGAGGTGACAATAATGGTGATGTGGTGTTTGGCTTCTCCTGGACTAAAATTTCAGCTCACATGCAACATAGTATTTCCACAATTTACATCACAAATAAACTCTTAATCAGAAATTTAATGCTTTCCACAGTTTTTTTGAAAGTGTAGACGATTTTAAAATTTGAGGGATTTAGATATTGTATGTGATATTTTAGATGCATGCTTATGTCATTTTTTACATTTTATTCTATTGTTAGCTTTCAAACTATTTCCGTAAGCTATGAATATTGATATCTAGGAGCTATGTGTATTATGAACACGCATGGCCTATAATGTCCCCTTGTCTTTATTTTTACTTATAAGCGTTACATTTGCTTCCTCCTTTAGTATTTTTTTTTCAAGAAAACATCTAATGTGTGTTCTGTATGGGCATGTCTATAGAACAAGCCAAGAAATTGGATCTCTTCCTATGTTCAGATTGTTCCTCAACAGATGATGCCAATAGGTCTCCAAATGGCTATCCTGTTTCCCTAGTGTCGGGACCTAAGGTGAGGATTATACTAATTCTTGTGTCTTAACATTATATTTAAGCTTATAAGCACAAGTTTATAAGATAAAAGTGGGTGAATAATTTTAATTTTTCATGCTGATATTATCCTTTAATAGTATAAAAAATTTTCCAGCCAACATGGGACCTTTCATTTTTAATCAAAGAAACTTACGTTTACTAAATTTAATGGTCATGCATTCTAGTTAATGTTTCCATGTATGTTTGCTTGTAATGATTGCAAAATTGACTGGAGTTTTTACAAGTTCATTGAGTCACTAAAAACAATTTATTGTTAAGATCATACTAGGGTATGGTGGCTGATTTTAGATTAATCTTTCACTAGGATTGAGATTTCAAATTTTTTTATATGTTTGAATTGTGCAAAATCATCATGTGAGATTGTTATATATAGTTCTTCCATGATTCTTCAGGATTTTTACTTTATTTTATTCTTTAATTGGCATCCCTAAATACATGTTCGTGACATTCTTTATTTGGTATGTCTTTATTTGAAATATATAATTCTGAATGTTAACTTCATAGGCTGTTTCCTATAATTTTTTCTTGTGGTTGGAGTTATATGTAATATGTTATGCATGTTTTATAGCTACAAATCATTTAAATTGTGTTATTTCCAGTCATTACAAGGATTGTTCTTTCGATTGTTCTAGTTGCATGTTGAAGGTTGCTCAACAATAATTATGCAAACTCCTATGTAGTCTTTAGTGCACTGCAAAGTATGGTGTTTCTTTTAATCATTTTAATTTTAGAAAATCCAATGAATCACTGAGAGTTAGGTGCTACCTAGTTATTTTCGTAGTTTTTTTAGATGGCCATCCTACAGGAATCCTGCACTCTTGCTTTTTTATCTGCTTTAGAATGTCTACATACAAGGATGCTTAGATATGATTGTATATGACCACAAATTTCATTGATTTCAATTTAAAGCTTCCATATGATGTGATTCCAAGGAAGAAAAACTTAGGTAGAATTCCTCATTAAATGGTGGATGATTACATGGTTATTTTCATAGTTTTTGTAGATGGCAATCTTTTAGGATTTTTTTTAATATCTTACCTCTTGGGCTGCTTTGGAATGTTTGCAAGCAAGCATGCTCATCTGTATGTGTATGACCACATCTTCATTGTGTTCAATTTAAGGATTCCTCATGTATTGATTTCATGGAAATTAGACTATCGTAGAATGCCTCACTAGATGGTAGATGGCTAGTGATTTGCTGGTAATTATTGTGCTGCTTATATTTGTGATGTTTCAATCTGAAAAGCCAACTTCCCTTTGATTCTACTAGCTAAAAGTTCACTTCAAATGCTTTTTTTTTTGTGGAGTTGTTTAACATCTCTTTGATGCCCTATTTTGCTGATTAATTTGTTCCCACAATTTACAGGTTGCATTTGTTTTTAAGTTGAATAAATGTTTTAGTTAATTATTTTTAACTATTTGCTTTTTAGCATTGCACTTAAAGGAATAATCTTTGAACCAAGATGCATAACAAAGAATATGTGTTTATAATTAACATCCAATGGTATTGTTAGCACTAGCTTATTATTAGGAGTTCCATTTTTATATTTAGTGGGTTATATTGATTTTGTTATTCCTCTCGATATTATATTCAACTCCTATGTTATAAATAAGGAGCCCCCTACAGAGTACTATGTATAATTTTTTTCTATCAACATGACATCACAATAGAGTTATAACCTAAGCCTCACAAAAGAACCTTATTTGCTTGCACCTGCCCTAGCTATGCCTTCATTTCTTCCAACCATTACACATTTCAACAATCACATTTGTGCTCACAACCTTAGTTGTGTTGTGTAGCTCTTGTTGTCACTGGCTTACTTGCCATCTTATGCTCGACTCTTATGGCATTTCTTTTCCTACATCAACTATTTGTTACTCCCTTTCTCCTTGCTCTATGATTGTGATAGGAAATACTTGAGTTCGCAAGCAAACCTATTACTAATTGGAGAAAAACAGCGAGAAATAAGCAAAATTTGGAAGAAATCAGCCCCAAAACGATTGATTGCAATAAGGGAAGCAAAGACAAAACTATACGAAAGCAAGATACAAGTGATCCTATATTCAAGTGGAGGATCGTCTCTCCCAAATCTCTAGACAAGAGAGTCTAGAGCCCAAATAGCAAGAAACCCTAATTCTCAATCAATCAAAACATAAACATCCCTAATTCCCTCATGCACTTTAATACCCAAACCTTCCTAATACAAATTCGCTCCTAAATGCCTAGCCCCTCCCCCTCTATTCAATTTTCAAAAGCAATTAGATGGGGTGGGCCCCATCAATTTTGGCAGAATAGCCAAAGGAGGCGGCTTTGTTCCGCCTCTCGTAGTGGATTTGAGCCGGTCAACAGACCGGCTGGGCCGGTTCTATGTGAACTGGCATAACATATTGCCTAAACTCCTTATGATTATTCTTTGTTCTTGGTTGTGTTAATTGATGGCTTTCTTTACTACTCTCCTCACGCTTGTGTAACTACGCTCCTCATGCTGCCAACTACTCATGCTTGTGCCTCTCCATTGTTACTCACATGTGTTGTCTAATTGTCGTTGCTTCTAGTAACAACACTCCTTGAATGCACTTACTTGCCTTTGTTCACTAGTGATAGCATATGTGCCCTTCACTCACCTGCATGATCTCACTAGATCTTAGTAGTCCTACCCGCTCTTGCTCTTCTCGCACCCGCTATAATAGTTCTCCTACCTTTTCTCGAATCTCCGTGGCCTCATGTGCTTAAACCCTTGGTTATGCTACGTACCTCTCACTGTCATTGGTATCTTGTCATGCATCCCGGCATCTCCTACATCAATTATTTCACACTATTTTTCCTAGCTTTATGATTGCTTAAATTCCTTTTATACTCTTCTTTGTGCTTGGTAGTGTGCACCAATGGCTTCCTTTATTCTCATATGAGGGATGAAACCCTCATATGTTATTATTACATCTATCAAACTCAATGATTCCAACTATTTTTAGTATTAAGTTTTTTTTTCACTTATGACTTCTCATGAGCAACTTAACTCCCTGCCTCTTGAGCAGGTGAACACATCGCCAAATTCATTGAAGGGCAAAGTTCTAATTATGGTGATTTCACCTAGATCTCAACAGTATTAAACTCTATATATTTCCTTAAGTGTTAGGTTTCAAGAGATGGCTAATGTGATATGGAATTTTCTTTGATCCAACCTCATGCAGGAAAAAACATCTATACGTAGTAGGATAACCCCACGTAGTGGGCTAAAGGCTTAATGTTGTTGTTGTTGTTGTTGTTGTTATTTTCAACTTAATGATATGCCCATCTCTTGTGCATACGTAATCTCAGCTGATGTCAAATCTTAAATTCCTTAACATAATCCAACCTCATATTCCACTGAGCTTTTTGTTACCCCTCAACTAGTATCTGACTAGGTTTCTTTTGTTATGGGGCTTCGTGGTGGTTGTGATGCTCATGGCAGTGGTTGATGGACTTATAATGATCTTGATTGTGAAGAAAGATTTTTTCCCCTTGTTCTCACTACAATCATACTGATCATCCTTCAGACCATTATTGAGCCAAGTTTAGTTATACCTCCAATGCACAACATGAATTTGGATCCTTTGTGATTTTTGTTAGCACTTCCACTCCAAGTACTTATTTTGGTTTGTTTACTTCTTGTTGAAAAGATTATTATTGCCTTATTCAACACTCACAAGCCTCTGTGCCTACTTCCTATGCCATTTTCTACTCTATTCTATTGCAATTGCTTATGGATTGTCATTAATTTTAAATTTTGGCTCCCCTTCATGTATGATTGTAATTTACAATTGCATTTCTTTCATGACATTCCTTCTCTACAGCATATCATTGTTGTTGATGATTCTCTTATGCACATAGGAAAGCTCTGTTTCTCTTCCCATTGGTATATTCCTCACTTATGTTTTATATATTTTCGAAATTTATATCAATTTGTTGTCCATTTTTTTCCAACTAGAAGTCACAACGGCTATGTGTCTGTTTATCCTTCTCACTATATTTGGCGGAGTTTACTGCTTGACATGCTACTCATCTCAATAGCGTAAAATTGCATGCACTATACCATGTAGTATAGGGAGGCAGACCTTTTTTGTCATTGGCATGACATCGTTGATTGTCGAAATAGCATGCGCTGTCAATTTATGCACTATAACTCATAGCATATTGCATGCACTATTTAATGTACTTTATTTAGGGTTTGAATAAAATTGATTATTTTAAATTCACTATCTTATTATTTTATAAAGTTATTTTTATTTACTTGGGATTTTGTTTAAAATCTTTTTAAACCCCTTTGCCAAATACTAAGTACATCACACATAACACTATTAAGCTTATCCCTCATGCAAGGCCTCAACTGAGGGGTAAGCAGGAGCCCCCTAGGAAAGCTTCATTATGATGAAGCTAGCATGATCTTAGTGACTCAGTGATGCATGCAAAAATTAGGACAACCCCCTAATTTTTGCAATAAAAAAGAAAAGCTTCCTAGGTAATAGGAAAATACATGAAGATCCTAAAAACTAGACAAAGCAGACAAATTAAAACTTTTATAAAATAAAAACTACTCTTACAAACTTTTGATGCTTACAAACACAAAATAAAAATACACCTAAAGTTTCTTTCTTGGATTAAGAAGAAAGATATGAGTGAAGTCGATCTTGTGGAGAGAAGAGAGGGGTTAAAAGACCAAGACGAAGAAAGGACAAGCTCGCAAGCTTTCCTAGAGGAAGATGAAGAGGTGGAACAAGCTCGCAAGCTTTTCCTAGAAAGAAGAAAAACCTCTCAGGTTTTTGGCTCAAAAAATCACATTATATCAACCTCTTTTTCATTTGCCAAAACATCACATATATATAAGATAAAAGGGGCAGCTAAATAGCCACAAAAATCATTAAATAAACCCATTAAAATGGGGGATATATAAGGTCAAAAAGATGTTAGGAACAACAACCCAAAAAGCTACCATAAACCTGCAACCAAACCAATCAGGTAAGGTGAAGAGGAAAGACAAAAGACACCACAAACAACTCCCAAGAAATAGCACAGGAAACAGGTAAGGAAGCTACGGGACACAGCCAGGGAAGTCACGAGAACATAGCCAGAGAGGGACCCGAAGAGCCAACACAGAAAATGGAAAGGAGAAATCACAGGAAAGCAGCAAGGGAGGAAAACTGAAAAGGCAACCAGCCAACAACCAAAATTCACAAGGAAGAAACCAAGGAGACACAAGAAGGGGAAGAGGCAAGGATTTAACTATTCTTAATGAGCTTACAAGAAGAATGCCTTTTCTAATTAATGAGCTAACATTGGCTCAAGTATTTATGAGCTAGAACTAGGAAGATCCCAAGATTTTAGCTCATAACCAAAGCAGCCAAAGCCCAAACCGAGAGCAGCTAAGGCCCAAACCAAGAGTCAGATCCCTTTCCTACCATGATCATTGGATAGCATAAAATAAAATAAAAATAGCAAATATAACTAAATTTGTCCAAAACAAATAATGCAAGACAAATTAAAATGCAAGACAAATTAAAATGCATCACTCTGCCAAATACTATATCACACATAACACTCTGTTAAGTTTATCCCTCATGCAAGGCCTCAACTGAGGGGTAAGCAGGAGCCCCCTAGCAAAGCTTCTGTATGATGAAGCTGACATGATCTCAGTGACTCAACCATCTCTCATGACTATTGCTCTCCTTTGTGAGTCGAATACATCCCTTTCTCAAGCCAAACATAGGAGCTCCTTTTCTTTTTCGATCTTCTTTGGTTGTTGAGTGCAATCCTCTCCCAGTTGAACACAATCTATTAATCTTCAATCTTGTCTACGAGTCAAACCTTTCCCTCTCTTGTGCCAATAAGACCCTCTTGAGTCCCGAACACATCTTCAATCTTTTCTTCTATTTGATACCCCTTTTCTCTTCATTTGTCTTAAGCAATAATGAATATAATTATGTGTACTCTTTATTATTTCCTTATTGTGATTTTACTTCAGCATTTTACTTCTTTTTATTTGCATCGATTCAATGTTTGCTTTATGTTTAATATTGTTTGATCTCATTTGGGTAAACTTATTTATTTATATATTGTTATTTTGTTTTTACTTTATTATCATTTTTATCTTATTTAATTTGAAGCGCTATGATCTTATTTTATTTTATTTTATGTTTTTGGGTGGTTGAGCCTTAACTTCATTATTTAGCATTATTATAACAATGATAGATTTATTTACAAATGTTATAATAATACACTAGGGGTATAAACAAGTCAATTCAAAACGGATTCTGCCTAATTGAGCTAAGCTCATTAATTTTGATTGAGCTCAAACTTGTGCTTGAGCTCATTTAATAAGCTTGTACGAACATTATTAAGCTTGAGCTCGCTTTGATTACATGAGCTTGAGCTTGATTCAAGAAATAGTTAAAAATATTTATTATATTATTATAAAATTAATTTAAAAATATATTTTACTTTAAATGAGCGGCTCAACAAAGTTGCAAGCTGAACAAGGTTGAGGTTGAGGTTGAGCTTGTATCTCGATAAGCTGGCCTCGTGAGCTTGTTAACAAGTTGAATTTGAGCCAGCTTGTGAGCTGGCTCAACTCACTTACAACCCTTTAATGCACAATCTTAATAGTTTGACCCTCTCTCGTGAGTATTGATCTTCTCTGTGAAATATCCCTAAACCTAGTCAAATGCAAGAGATCTTCTTCTTATAAGATCTTCTTTGCATTTTGAACTCAAACTTCTTATGAATTGAGCACATAAGCTCTTCATCTTCAATATTGTTTAAGAGTCAAACACTACCCATCTCATGTGGTTACAAAACCCTCGAGTCCCCAACGCATCTTCGATCTTCTCTTATAGAAGCTATTATTCCATCTTCTATTTGATCTCTTTTCTTATCATTTGTTAGAATTACAGGTGTAAACTAGCTGAGTTGAGCTTGAGCCACCACCAACTTGAGCTTGAGCTTAATTAATTATTTGAGTTTGGGTTTGATTATAAGATTTCAAGTAAACACATTTATCATAGAAGAAAATAAGAAATCTGAGAAAGAATAAGAAATCATTTAATATAAGAAAGTTGGATATAATTTTCATTTTTTTTAAAATCTTGTATTTAAAATTTTAAATTCTAATATATTTTTAGCCTTTTTAAAATTAATATCTTTTAAAAGGTGTCGGCTGACAAGCTAACTAGTCAAGTTGAGATTAGCTTATCAGGCTCAGTTCACATGCCCTTTATTGAGTTGATCCCTGGTCAACCATGAGTCAACTTGACTCATTTACGCCTCTAATCAGAACCAACCGTTAATATAAATAATCATATTTACTCATTCTTATTTTCTTATTGTGATTTTGTGTAGCTTTTTTTTCCTTTAATTTTTCAGGATTTTATGTTTGATATTATTTAATCTAATTTAATTATGTTTAATATATTTTTATTTTAATTATGGTTAATATATTTTTACTTTGAATTTGCTTGATTATTATTTTATCTAATTTAATTTGAATCACTATCATCTTATCTTATATTTTTTAGTGGTTGGGCGTAGCTTCATTATTCAGAATTTTGACCTAAAAGTGGTTGAACCTAGCTTCATCATTCAGAATTTTGACCTAAAAGTATGCGTTATTATAGCGTTGGCATATTTATTTACAAATTTGCTTGTTTTCTTTGCCATGATAATTTATTTTTTAATATAGTTATCTTTCATACACATTCCTGTATATTAAATCAATCTTTTATTTCATTTATATGACTTTGACGGTGGTTTTTTACAATTTTGTATCTTATCTTTTATATTATTGAATTATTAATAATACATTATTGATTTATATATATTTAATATTTTGTGTGTGCCACGGGTTATTGTTATAAATTCATGGACCTTTGAGCAACCACTCTCACCATTACTTTGCATTAGTGGCATTATTGTTTGGGCCGCAATCTTCTTTCTTTCCAAATTTAAATGTAATGCTTGTGAGCTAGGTAATATCATCAGTTGATTTTCCATATTTCATGTCAAATCTTAATAGTGCGCCATTTGAATTGGTTCATTTTGATATTTGAGATCGTCATCTTGTCCTTACCGACTCATGGTTTTAGTGCTTCATTTCTTTTATCGGTGATTACTCTCAAGCCATGTTATTGTATTTGCTAGAGTGCAAGTACGAAGTTTTCCTTGCATTTCAAACATTATATTAGAAAATAAAACTTCAATTTTATATTGTGATTAGATTCCTTTGTACTGCTGATGCTTTGTCGTATATGTTGTCTCAATTTAGCTCATGTTGTACCAAAAATATAATTGTTTGTCCATCATTATCAGTCACGGTTGGCCATTGCTACAAACCAATGTAAGCAATCCCTTTCTTTTTGGCAAGCTCACTAAAATCATTTATATGAGCAACCACCAATGTTTTTTTTTTTTAATTTTTAATTTTTTATTTTAATGAGCAACCACCAATGTCTTTGCTGGAGGGGAGCCAAAGTATTGAGCTCAATAAGGCTATATATGGGTTAAAAGTCCTAGGACTTGGTTTGATAGATTTTACGAAGTTCTTATTGAGGTTAGCCTTCACAACAACGTAACATATCACTGTATTTTTGCCAAATCCACTTCATATCATTTGTGTTATTGGTGTTCTATGTTGATGACATTAAGCTTCTTGGAAGTGGTCAAAAAGGGATAGAATATACCAAAAATATTCTTGGTTTGATAGAAGTAAAACACTATCTCCAAAAATATTTTCTGAAGAAAGATTTAGGTTGTCCTAAATGTTTTTTGGGATTATAATATACCTATAATAATCTCAAAGAAATATGTCGTTCGCCTTTTAAAGGGAACTGTTTTTTAATGTTTCAGACTTATCGACAATGCTATTGAAACTCATAATGTTGTTGATAAAGATGAAATTTTTGAGAATGCCTCTCGTTATTACTTGTTAGTTTTTAAGTTAGTCTATCTTGAGTTAACACATACAAACTTAAAAAAAAAAAACAAAAAAGAAAGCTATGAAACATATCTTTTGATATGTCAAGACATCAGGGAGAGGAATTGCACACTATGAATATGAAGGGGCATCTTAATGTGAAGTGGATTTTTTTTATTGATGATGCAAAATATGCATTTGGGTATTTGCATATTTGTGGGAGCTAATTTGGCCACGTGGAAGAGTAAGAAATAAATTGTGATGGCCAAATCAAGTTTTGCGGCATAATACAAAACTATAACATACTCTACGTTTGAAATGATGTGGTTGAAGACCCTTCTAGGGAAATTTGGTCTTCCTGTTGCACAATTTAAAATATTAAAATCTTAAATGAGAAAAACAATTTATGGGGAGCCATTTTAATCCTAGAGTACCTAATTTATCTTGCCTTTTTAACTCCTCGATTCTAATTCAAAATTGTCCCTTGTCTCTTTAAATTTGATCCAAAATAATGCCATAAAGAGATTATTTCATATTATATCTGAGAATTCAATATTCTAAATTAGATACATTGGACAATTATGACTAAAATGGTTGCATATATATAGTCCAATGATTATTTTAATCTTTTTATCAATCTTAATTTGTGACTATTTTGTTGTTATTTATATTCCTACTAATATCGTGTTTCATGAAAAAAGCAAACGCAATGGGGTTAGCTCTCACTTCATTCGGGAAGCGGTGCTATTGAAGCCCATTGCTCTTTTTTCTAGGTCAGAATATCTGACAGATATATAGCCAAGCCTTTGAGTCTACTTCAATTTTGCAAATTATAGACATGCTAGAGCTCATTGGTATATATATATATATTATTTTTTATTTTTTATACTCATTGGTATATATATGCTCCTACAGGAGGAGGAATATCAGTGCTGATGTATCTTTGAAAAGTTTCCTATTTATAGGTAGTGGATTATGTTTATTTCATTGTTCCTTCGAACATTGTGCTTGATTCCAATATTATAAATTAGGGGTTCTCCTATCGAATAAGATACATAATTTCTTTTTTCTTAGTTGATAAAATCTTTTTATTTTTAATTTATTTTATTTTCTTATCATATTTTTTATTCTTAAATTTTTTTCATTATGCTTAAATAGATCCATACCAAATAATCAACGCCATATTAAATGAACCAGAAAAAAAAATTGATATCCTCTATGTAAAATTATTATAAAAGATAAGTATACTTCACATGTTCTTATTTGAATGTTTCATCTATTATTATTTCAACTTAGGATGATTTTTTATATTTCGCTAAATTTTTATTGTTACTTGTGATCCCATTCTTCTATCTATATCGAAGACAGATCATATTCTCATTTCCCTCATCGTACAGGTTGAAACTAAGAGAAGGAAGAGGTAATCAGCCTTGTAGGCTGCAGTCCGTGTGTGGCTCGCTAGCTACTTATCCTTTGTTGGTAATATGGAATTGGTGTACAGTGCAGAGACGAGACTGCTTTTAGAGAGAGAAAAACGAAAGAAAAGGAAGTTAACTTTTTAAAGCTTTGGATTGTTTATTCAGTTAAGTATCATTCTGAGTCTTTGAGCTTAATATCTCTCTCTCTCTCTCTCCTTCTCCTCCAAGTAAAAACCTATTGTTGTAGCTTTTTTTTTTCTTTTTTCTGCAGTGTTTCTGTATTCTCAAAATGGAATCAAAATAATATGTTTTAAAAAATTTGAGAGATTAAAATAATCTTTTAATATAATTAGAGATTATTTTAATCCTTTATAAAAATCAAGAAATATTTTTGATTTCTTATGTGGGTCGTCGATGGGCTCTATCGAGGGAATTAAAGCGGAGAATGTTGGAGCCGCCACCGGTACCGTTTGCAACGGCAGGGCGCATCAGATGGTCACTACGTCGCTTGCGACGAAAATAGACCTACCCTCGGCGGCTTCTTTAGGAATCGATGAGGCGGCATCAAAAAAGGTCAAGGCGGTGGGTTTGCCGTTGGAGGTGGGAACGCGTGTGATGTGCAGATGGAGGGACAACAATCTCCACCCGGTCAAGGT